GCAATTGAAATTCCTGCTTAGCACACACTTCCTTTTATTTCAGTTGATAACGTTCAAATCACCTCTTTTAGCAGTCTCCTATCCTTAACCTCTCCACTTAAATTTATGGTTGGAAATGACAGAGCTGTATAAATAGATATTGCTTTGTTCAACTTACTCCATGCTGCAATCCAACTGGCAGGTTAGGGCCTGACTCCTCAGAGTCCCCAGAACAAGGGAGCAGGGGGAGCATTTCTATTCTTCCCATGAATAGATGACAGCTTAAAGAGAATGGTAGTTGCAAAATAGCATGCTTTAAGTAGGTGCTGCTCCTGCCATGGAAGAAGCGTTTCTTGTTCCTCTCTTCGCCATGGAGCAGACCTCCCTACTGCAGCGAGTGCAGGGAAGGAACCGTACAACCACCACTGCCCTGAAGAAGTATGTCGAGTTATGTATTCTCAAGAACAAGGTCTGCTATTTTAATGGCAACTTCATCCTCCTTTCCTACACTGCTACTACTATTGATGGACTGAACTGGTCCCTACTCCATGGATGTGGAAAAGCCTTGACAGTAATTAAAAGTTTGTCACAGCATTGAATTGCCCTTGGTATGCATCACACTCACAGCTGTGGAACAGAAGTGAAGACAGAGTTGTTCTGAGCACATGACAGAAGTGTTCCTTAGGTGAAGGTCTTTTGGTCTCAGTGTTTTGGAGAAAGGCTAATTTGCAAAACTACAGTTTATGTCTCGTTATATACAAGAGCTGCTCCAAAAATAATGTTTCTTATTTTACTATGTTGGCCCACATTGTCAGAGGCAGACATTGGTGGAATGGAAGAAGAGATTGAACCTTCCTGCCAATATTCTTGGTTACATGTCATGCCATGTGACAGATGGCAGCAGAGGGGCAGTCTGACAGAATGGCATCTGACATATAAGTGTGTATGAAGTAAAAGGGGTGTAATTGAACTCCTCCATGCAAAAAAAAAAAAAAAAAAAAAAAGAAAAAGGCACCCATTGACAGTCATTCATTCACTGATGCTTTCTATGCTTTCTGCATGTTTATGGAAACCAAACAGTGGATGTGAACACATCCACTGGATGTGAGGGACCGGATGGTGAGTTTCAAGCAGTGGTGACAGCGACATAAAAGACAAGTTATATTTTGTACAGCCATGCAGATTTTTTTGAACACAGTATGCAGACTCTTGTTCATCGCTGGCAAAAACGCATAGCTAGTGGTGGTGACTATGTTGAAAAATAGTGCTTTATAGTTGAGAATTTTCTCAATCAAATAGTGTTATTGTGCTCTTTGTAACTATTGCAATTTCCACATAAATAAATAGGAGGCATTACTTTCAGAGCAATACCTAGTAAACATGTTGGCCTTTTAGGAGATAAACAATTCCACTCATGCATACTATATTAGAAAAATAAGATGGTACAGTTTAACTTGTCTTCAGTTTATAGGAGGAGATGAATAAAAGCAAATACTAAGGCAGTTCCCTCTTAGTATATAAGAAGGCTGAGCCCTGGCTTTCTTTGAAAACAGAATTGGTGACGGCTGGTGTAAGTTGCAGTCATTCAAACCATAATGGTAACTGTGAATAAAGTCAGAAATATGAGGGGAATGGAGGGCTGGGTTTGTGTGTTTTTTCAGATTTGAGAGTATCTAAACAATATTAGTAGGAACTTGCAGATATAAAATAGTGAGATGGATTTGCTTCTTACCAGTGAGTCTGCTCCAGAGAAAGCATACATTTCTGAAAAAAGATCACTGTAAGGTAATATAAAAGGATAGAGAGAAAATGATTTTTTATCTGCTACAATGTGGTCATTAATATTATTTTTTAAACTGTGATTAACAAGACAATAAGACAAGTGTGTCTTGCAGCCCAAGAACACTTTCTAGTTGATCACAACAATGTATCAGGAGCATGGGTGGCTAGCAGTGTTTCTACAACCTGCACAGTACCAGGGGACAAATTACTCAGGAAAAAAAAAGTCTTTCTCTATTTCTCAGCTTTCTAGTCAACCAAACACCCCATTAGGAAGCGTCACATTTTGTTTCAGCTTTTGCCCTCTCCATACCACGTCTTTGATCCAACACTGTGGATAACTCAGTGTTTGAAGGTGAAGTGTAGAAAGTTGATGAGTTTGTTCTGATTAAAAGACAATAAGGATCTGACTTCAAAGCTTTACATAAACAAAATAAAGAGTGTCTCTGCTCAAGATGACTGCCACCATGCTGAGCTTATGATTCAAAGCAGTGATTTTCAGTATTTAGGAGGAAACAGGATGACTGAGGCCACTTCTGTCAAAGTGAGACACTCACTTCGAGCTTTCTGTTAACTTTCAGAAGAGCTTCTGTGTGGTCTCAGAAGAGAGAACAAACAAAAATAGTATTATTTCTGCCGCAACTGCATCAGTTACTGCAAATGACAGTGAGAGAGGAAAAGAGAAACCTTACCTCCTCTGCCTACTGCTCATCAACAGTATAAAGGCCTAGAAAGACTGAGGAAGATATAACATGAGATACCACTTCACTACCATCAGATCCAAAAGAAAGAAAAGCATCATAGTATTACATGCTCCACTAAGAAAAAATTATTAAATGTTATTCATAGGTGTATTATATGAAGTGTGTTGCGACAAAATCTGTGATAAAATGCAGAGCTGTCACACTATGAAATGAAGAGTATCTTGATCAGCTCACACATGAATTGGCAGATTACAACCAGAGTACCCTGTATGGAGCTAAATATCAACTTCAGTGTATTGTAAACAATTGTGGCAACCTTGAAATATCACTAAGTTTTCATCAGGTGGATCCCATGAATGCTCACACAGGAACAGAGAGAACATTATATGAAGTTTGTTAGGAACTATTGAACAATATGAGGCTGAAGGTGACAATTTCCTGGATCACAACATTACCAGAGATGAGAAGTGGTGTCATCACTACGAGCCAGAGTCAAAATGGCAGTTCATAGAGTGGCAACATGTGAATTTCCCCATGGAAGAAAAAGGTCAAGACATAGCTCTCTGTGCATAAAGTGATGTGCACTGTCTTTTGGGATAGGAAAGTTGTGATCCTTCTGGATTTCCTGGAACCTGGATAAACCAGCAACTCTGACTGCTAACATCATAATGCTGACTAAGCTGAAGGATCCAACTACCAGAGTAAGGCCAGAGAAGACAATCTTTCTCATACAACCTTTCTTATGTCCTTTGTATAACTCCAGGCCCCATGCCAGTTTGAAGACCATAGAGCATGTTGTCAATCTTGGCTGGACTGTCCTACCACATTCTCCCTATAGTCCAGATTTGGCACCTTCTGACTTCCAGCTGTTTGCGCTGATGAAAGATGGACTGCATGGGCAACATTTTCCTAGCATTGACACCATAATAGCATCTGTGAAACAGTGGGTCATTTCCACTGGTGCAGATTTTTATGAGCGTGGCATGAGGATCTTCTTCTTTGCTGGCAAAAGAGTATAGCTAGTGGTGGTGGCTGTGTTGAAAAAATACTCTTTTGTAGCTGAGAATTTGCTCTATCAAATAGTGTTATTGTGTTCTTTGTATCTCTTGTAGTTTCCACGGGAATAAATAGAAGGCACTACTTTTGAAACAATCTACGTACATCAGAAAATGAGTGCCTTTATTATTCCAGCTAGTTTCTGTCACTGCTGGAAGATACTAATTTGAGATCTAATACAAAAAATAGGAGAAACAATTCCTTTGCTGAAAGGATGATGAACAAAACTGGTAAAAAAATTTATTAGAATAAGCAGAAATAACTACTTTTTAGCCTGCTATGGCTAATTCTTTGGGACACTGAACACCCAGCTTCCAGTCTTTGTAGCCCCAAGCAGAAGATATGAGAGAGAAAATCCTCAGCAGGGGAAATGCAATGTGACCTCACTGGGGCTTTCCTACAGAGATGATAACACCAGCTTTTGATCATGACAAGGTACCCTGCAAATATGCTAGTTAGCTAGGATCTGTTAAAAATTCTACATTTGTGAGTGTGGCTTTCTTGCTATGGAGTGCCAAGATCACACAGAGTTGTAATTGCAGTACCAGTGGGAGAATTGTACAATATTTACTGGATTCCCATAACACAAAAATCAGGCACAAAGAAAAAAATATGGAATCCTGGAGTTCCTTTTAAAAGGATGAAATAACAGTTTAATGCCCAAATAACACTGAAAAGCAAGCGAAGTTTGGCACCCAAATCTAACTAGGCTAAATGTTTATGTGCAGTCACAGGCTGTTTTAATTGCAAAAAAGTGGGAAGAGTCACAGACGAGCATGAATCACAAATTAAATACCACAAGATTAATTTGCTCCATCTAGAGCTTTTGTTTTAACGTAAACAAACATCTCTTATCCTGCTCAGCCTATTTTAAGACGGAGACTGTGCAGTAAGAAATGCCAGTGTGACAGAGCGCTGTTCGGAAGATGCTTATACCTCTGGGAGTGATGCTGCAAATATACACCATATTTATCAACTCCGACAGGGAGGAGTTGTCAGAGAGCTGGAGACACGGTTTGGGTCAGTAGAGTGCCCTGTTCTGCCCGCAGGATGCATGGAGAAAGCTGGCAGCACGCGCTTCATATCACATAAGCTCATCTGTAGGAGCTCTTGGTATTTCTACAGTAATGGGTAAATTGTCATGCAAGTTGGGGAAAGGATTTTTGGCTGGCTCTAATACTGCTTTTCTTTAGCAATTTGCCCACAGAGTGAAAGTGGCAACTGGCTGCTTCTAATAGGCAGCTGTTGCAACTGGTAGATGTCAACAGGAAAAGGTTTCTTGGGGAGGGAGAGCTGATGTTCACTGCCACCCTAAAAGCTGTGCCAGGAGAGCAACTTTCCCATAAAAGGGAACGCTGCAGCTCAGAGATTTTGCAGGAAGATTTTGTGACGTGCCTGGCATGGCATCTGCTAGGGCTCATTCCCAGTTGCATGACAGTGCTGGTGGCTACCAGCAGAGGCCAAATTCAGCCGGGTGTCTCAGAAGCATCAGGGCAGCCCCTTTTAGCTCTTAGCTCAGTTCATGACACAGCCTGCACTTTAGAGAGATTCCTTTGCACTTTGAGAAGCAACTACTGAACACAGCAGCAGCATTCACCTCTTTAATTGATGTAAAGTCTTTGTACATGTCATTTTTTCATTTCAAGGTTTTGGATCTCTGAAGAGAGCTCACCTGTCTCCTCACTATAATATTCCTGAACTTCTCTTTTTCTATTGATTATTCCTCTATTTCTCACAGGTTTCAAAGAAGAGAAATGCATCATCAGTTTTCCTCTTGTGAAGCTCCAGAGAAAAGAAGAATTTCCTAAATCCTGAAGCAAAGAAGCATAAACTAGTGAGTGCAAAGGCAGAAAAAAGCAGTAACATTCCGGAGATAAAATGCAAAGTTAGGAGAAGGCTCCTGCGTGTGTTCTCTCTTCCTAATACACATAAGAATGTCATTGCAGTCTTTAATTGCTGCTAGAGGTGGAGAAAATAGAAAGGTTGAAGAAGTGCATCAAGAAAGAAATAATGGAAACCTGACCAGTGACAGGAGCTGATTACAGTTGGCAGACTGTATAGGTTTCAGATTCATGCTGTGACTTTGGAAATAAGTCCTGGCCGGGATGCATTTTTCTGGAATATCCCTAAGGAATATATATCAGTGATTCATCTAAGCAGCCACTGGATATCATTACTGCTCTACCAAAAATGAAGATAAAATAACAATCTGGAAGAAATAAAAGAAACAAGTGTCCCAGATTTTCTCTCAAACTGTAGCAAAGAGATCATAAGGGTGAGTAAGGAAAGGAGGGGGGAAGGAAGAGAGGGCTGAACTTTTCATCTGCACATCCCCAGTTTGCCTTTAAGCTGTGCACATCTAGTTTACTCTTGTCAGAAGCCAACACCACTGTACTTTGTAGCTCTTAAAGAAAGAGATAATTGCCTTTTTCTCCAGTCACATGCTCTCTAATACAGAACTTTATTTTTTTTTCTCAGTCCTACACAGTAGGACCTCCATCACTCAAAATAGCATAAGCTTTGCTAGAGATGTTAATGTACTAACCAAAGCAAACACAATGCAGAGGCTCTGACAGGTTTACATTTTGAAGTTCCTTCTAAACTCAGAATTTCTTTTTTTTTTTTTTTCTCGTATGAACAGTAGCCAATTATAAATTATAGCTCTCTCTTAATGCCCCATCCCAGAAGTTCCTGTGGATGAAGTTTCTATCGAGAGTGTGCTGTACTAGGTTATTTTAATATCTCCGAATAGTTGTTGGATATTTTCCTTATCGTGTAGTTCAGCTAATACATACTAGTCATTTGGGAGAAAACAGAAAAAGGGAATTAATTCTAGAAAGCAAAAAGCTTCATAAGCTTTTTCTTCCTTTTTATTTTTTTATTCTTATGAGTCAAAGACATGCCAAGAAACATATTTTAAACCATAGCATCACATATTCCGCTAGACCTTTAGCAACAGTTCATTAATGTACATCAGAGGCCCCATAGGCTCTATCTAGTTTAGCGACCTGCAAGTTTAAGTAGAAGACTGTTATTGAAATCAGTATTCTTATATATAAATATATAGCTGCTCCAAGGAGAATATAAATACCTACAGCAAACCAAATCCAGCCTAGACTCTCTGAACCTTGTAGGAATTAATTGCAAGAATTACACTTTGGAGCTTTTAAAGTAAAAGATAATTGCCTCTTTTTCTGTCACGGGCTTACTAATACAGAACTTCAGTTTTTCCAAATCCTCCACAGTGGGACCTCCATAAGTCAAAGTAATGTAAACTGTGTGAGAGATGCTAATGTTAAGCACTACAAAAATATTCAAATGGGCTATACAGTATTTCAAGTGTGAAAAAAAGCCTGTGGGTTCAGGAAATATTTCTTCACCCGATTCAAGGAGAACATGTAAACAGGATTTTTTAACCCTCCACAGTTCACAGGGGGCTTACTGCAAAGCAACTCAACATCCAATTCAAAGATGCAAACAGTCATCCCTGCCTTGGGGGACTACTCAAGTGCCCAAAGTTCAGCCTGTTTCTAATTAACTTGCAGAGCTACAACCCCAGTCAATAAACCAACATTTTAGTCACAGATAAACTTATCATCCCCTGAGTGTGAACAACTCATCCTTGCCAGGAATCCAATAGCAGCTACTGCCTTACTCTGCTTTACCATGGGTGCTTGTTAGTCTACTTATTTTCACTCAACTGTATGTGTCCTGTTCTTACAAAAACCCACTTGCATTGCTCTAATTCCTGCTAAAATGTTTCCCGCGCTGCTAGAAGGTCCACTGAATAAGAGATTAGGAAGAAGATCAGCTTGAGGATCTTTAGCTCTCCCCTTCCGGTACAGTACCTATTAACAGTAACTAGGTATATCATGCAGCATTGGAATTCCTAAAATAGCTACAGGGAGAAGAGACAGTGAAATGCAGAGAGCAGAGTGTTAACTCTCCTGTGAATTACTATCACAGTTTGCTACTAATTGAGAAAGCAAATAAAAAAGGTCCTGACAATATGCTCTTTTCTAGTGGGGGCTATTCTCATTAAATGCAGAATCAAAGGTTGCCACTTCCCCTTCCAACTGCAAATCCTTTACTGCAGAGCAAATGTTTCTCTCCTTCTAAGGAGAAAAGATCCCAAATTATACTAATACCAAGCTAGAAAGCCAGCTGTATTATGCAGTCTCAAAATTTTTGTCTGACTTCATGGCAACTGGCAGTGAGCTGCCTATGTCCTTAGGAGCTGTACTCCAAATGTTGCCCATAGGTGTAGTTGTGCGAATCTGAATGAAAGGAATCATAAAATATCCTGCCAAGAGTTTGGCTCCTGGTTCTTACAAGTTCCCTAAAAGGAACGGGGCTTGGGGGAAAGAAGACCCAGGATAAGTGGGCAACTGTGTGTGCAGCACTGAAGGGTTAAGAGGATGGGGTGCAGGCAACAAGCAAAGGACCAAGTAAGCTGGAAATTTTCAAAAGGCTGCTACTTCCAAGGAAAAGCATATTTATTTAAAAACACTGCACAGGCATTCCTAGCCTTTCTGCTGCAATCTCACCTTCATCTGAAATGTAGACATCCACTTAAATTCAAAATACTCCTGTCTTCTTAAGATTGAGACTCAGATTAGCATCTTCCTTTTACAGAAGCAACTTTTACACTTTAAGGAGGTAGAGACAAGAAATTTAGTACAGTACTCTGGTCACTGGACTCCAAAAATTGGGATCACAAAGAGGTCTCCAATGTCTAGTCCACTTAGCTATGAGCCAGGCACAAGGAGCTGCAATTTCCACTCTTCAGATGAACACTCTTGTGAGGATGAAGATAAGAAGAATTTCAAAAAAGAAGGAAGCAGAAGAAATATGTTTTGTGGAGAATAATAAGATAGCCCACATACATTTAATCGTTAAGAGTTCTGTTAGCTCCTTGCCTTCAGCCAAAGATTGGGAACACCAAGTTACATCACTTATATAAAGTGTCATGCACAAGACCCAGGAAACTGCAGTGTAAAGATGTTGGTTTTCTCTGGGATGGCAGTATCACTTGGCAAGTAGGAAAGGGAGCAGTATATCTGCTGATTAGCTTAAGTAAATGCTACTACAGAACTCTGGCTTATTTTGTAACTTCCGTATATTGCTAGCTATTCTAGAGAAATATCTTTCACAAATGTCCCGGAGTCTTTTCATCATTTTCATTATTATGCTGCTACACAATTTTTCAAAAAAAAAAAAAGTGAATGTATCATTTAATGTGTTATTTGATGTTACGTTTTTTACAGTGACATAATCATTTAAGAGGTTCCCCAACCTCTTCTCACCCACACATACACACGTATATATATACATATATATAAATGTATATAAGCATGCATATGTGCAGGTATATACATGCAATTATTCATGATTTCCTCAGATTTTCCACTGTACTCAGTGGAACTCACAGTGCTCAAACGATCTAAATAAAAAATGACCATAGCCAAAGTTAGGTTTCCAGTGACTTCAGTCTCAGTGACTGATAATACAGTACTTCTCATGGGTGGTTCTGGTGACTGAAGTCTGGAGATACATGAATTGGGGGAGCAGAGGTAGGAATAATTAGACCCCAGATAGAAGAGAGAAAAATGACATAAACTATTTTGTGAAGAAAAAATGTAATGCAGATGTAAAACTTTAGCCTACGGTGTGTAGAGCAGAATTCAGCCTTGGTGTAACCTCTAAAATCACTGCAATCACATAAGGCTATATAAATCAAAAATTAGAGGCGATGGGGGAATGAAAAGCACCACTTTTTAGAAAACTACTCCAAACTGATCTGGTATTGCTTGTGTGGATTAATTAAGTTCATACAAACATATATGAATCAACAGTATTATCAGAAGAGATGAAGATTTGGAATTATTCATACCCCTGAGAAAGAGGAATTGATGTGCTAGGGAGAAGGAGTGACCTGTGGTTCTCAGCATTATTTTTCTGAAAAGTGAGAAAGATATGCCTGCACTGAAACCTTTGGTTGGAACCAGATGTGGCAGGGCACTGTGAATAAGAGGATAAGACACTGGTGTGTGCTGGAGTGGAACAAGAATGAAGTTTGGATTTCATCCCCAGATCTAAATTGACCTGCTGCGTGAAGCTTAACTCACTTCACCTCTTCATTTTCCTTTTCAGCATTTGCCTTTCAGCTCTATTTAGGTGACAATTCCTTTGGGCCAGAAAGTCTGTGAGTGAATGCACTAGGATTTTGATGTATTAATTATTTGCATCACATTTTTAGCGCTTTTTATCCCATTGTGCTAGGTGCTGTGCAAGAACAGATTGCAAAGACAGTGAATTCTCCAGAGGTTATTAAAATATAAAGTATGTTCGTGTCAGTCTCACATGCAAGTTATTATTGCTCAGCAACTAGCCTGCATCAGCTGAAGCATAGTTTCTGGTCATACAGGCACACTTAGTCAGGAGCAAATGGAAGATAATTCTTTTTAGCTTAGTCCAGAGCAAACAGGAATGACAAAATTACGTTACTTGGTGTTCTCTGCCATCTGAGAGTTCACACAACATTACTGCAGCTCTGGAAGCAACAAGAAACTGGTTAAATCATGGTAACTTACACAGAAGGTTTGACCCCTACAAGAGGAGTGAATTGATGGATATAAACAGACAAGGAACTGCCAAGAATGTGAGCTTCACACAAATAATAGTATTCATAGCCCAAGTAGAGCGCATTGATAGCAAATGCTGCCCTGCAGAAAAGATCTGTGAGACAGATTAAAGGGAAGGTTGAGTTCTGTTGTTTTTTTTTCCTTCAGAAAACAAAGCATTTATTTATAAATACTTATGTGCATTTCGTAAAATACTCCCAAAGCACCCAAAATTTTGACAGAGCTGGCAAAACAACACTGGCTTCTAATTTTACTGCAGTGTCATCACATGTGGAACGAAGTAACAACAAATTCTGACTAGTGCCTATGATTAACACCTCCTACAGCAGCAACATCAGAGGACCACTGACAACATTTTTCATCAGTTACAGGGAAGACATCAACATCCAGAGTCTGCCCAAATGACCTACAGTGAAATTTGTTCGCGAACTGATCCCACTGTGTAAACTGCTCAGCTGAAGAAATGTACTCTTGATTTTCCATTCACCTCTAGCCCACGCACGCAGAACTGTGTGGGTTCCTCACTTACCCTAATCATGAGAGATTTTGGTTTCAATGACCATAGTGGTTGTGATGTGTTTATTGCCATCATGTTTCAAATAGAAGATGTTTCTGTCCTTTCTGTGGCAAGCAGGAATACTAACTGCTTGTGGGAGTGATGATTACAGAAGTTATAACCTGTTGAGGCAATGAAACACCCAAGGCATTAGCTGCTATTTACACATCTTGTTTGTCTGTGCTCACGTTTTTATGCTTCTGTCAGGAATGATCAGTCAGCTTGGTAAAGCAGAGGTGAATGACTTCTTACTGTCATGCTTAACAGGGGACAGTCCCCTTGTAGTTTTTGCAATGAGTGAAGGCTGAGACCCGAAGATCAAAGGTCTGGTGCAGCTGAACATACATAAATTATATATATATGAAATATATCTTCCATTCTTTAGATTATTCACAACACAATTCTGTAACTACCAACTCTGTAAGAAACATAACAACAGCTGTTCTTGTGATATTTCAGTACCACTGGAATTAGGAGAGGTAAGAAAATCAGAGGTGTGTGACAGCTTTGAAAATATCTATTTCAGTATGAGTTTCACAGAAATAGAATTTGTTTTTACCATCCACAGACAAAAGAGTAATAGACTAGATGTCAGAGAAAACACTAAGGGAGGTCCATGGTGGCCAGGATTATTCCGTTTGGAAGAAATTGCCATCTCTTCAAGAATATAAGGTGCTAGTTTGAACAGTTCAGAGGTGCATAGGGTAGCAAAGAAATAGCTAGCATGGTAGAAAATTGAATTTCCAGAACATGGTTTTCATCTAAAATTAAAATTTCAACAAGACATTTCATTAAGAGAAGAAATCATCCATCTTCAACAAGAAATTATTAAGAGAAGAAACCAAAGAACTAACTCTTTTCAAGGAAAAAACAAAAATGTTATAATTTCCTAATTACTGTTATTTCCTGACTTTCACTAGTGAAATGAGAAAAGGTGCTCGAGAGGCCATGACACTTTGGGAACCAAAAGAACTTGGAGTTTTGAGTGCATTATTTGGTAAGCAGCTGAGGGGTTCAGACAGCCAGCTATGAGGAAGCAGGCAGATTTCATAATACTTACATGAAAATAGCAAGAGTTGATGAAAATGTGGCTTCTTTGTTCTTTTATGCCTTCCAATTTGAAGCCCTTTCACCATAAAATATCAATGGCATGGAAAGGATTACTTCCTCACAAGCCACAAATCAAGTAATCATCTACTTCAATAGTTCTTGAAGGAGGTAAAAAATATTACAAACTCAAATTAGACTGAAGAATTTAAAGTTGCTGGAATAGCCTCTTTCTTCTGTTTTGTGAGCTTGATTGCAAGAAGGATGTCAACTAAGAATAAAACTATTCAGACAAGGAAAGCAAATACACAACAGGGAGTTGTGAGCCATCACTGGGATACAGCCTGCAAACCATCATCACTTTGCCAGTGGTCCAGCAGACCACAGGTATGAACAGGAGAGGATCTGAAAGAGGTTGAATTTCATCTCTTTCCTTTGTATTTGCAGTGGATTAGGAATAGAAACACAGACATGGTCAGGTTCAGTGCTGTGAGAAGCATGTTTAGGTTGAGGAATAGTAAATGACAACATCTTATCTTGGCTTCTTACAAGTGTCTAATCTTTGATTGTTGCACACGGATCTACAGAACTGGATTTAGATACTTAGAGAATATGCAGCATTCAACCTTGGGTAGGAAAAAGTCTAGTACTATGAATAAATGAAAAAATATATATGGTTTAGGCTATACAGGAGCTCATTATCTTCTTGATCCTTAATATAAGACTCTAAAATTAGAAAGTTGTAAATGTAAAATGAACAAACAGAAAAGAACACAGCTATGCACCATATGGACCTGTGGAACTCATCACCACAGAAGGTCAGAAGTGTTAAAATGTAGATTTTTAAAGATTTTCATGATGACCATGTATAGCACCAGTAATGACGTGATACTTACCAACTTAATAGTTTATCCTACCTCAAAATTTCTAATCTGATTGCTTACCAAATTAACACAATTTCCTCCCCTTCTCTTGCAGTGAAATGATATTGTACCTCTACTTTGGAGGGGATTATTTTTTTTCTCCTAGAAACAACAATCAAACACCTGAAAAGAGTGAGAAGTTCTGCTATACTGAGGTTTCTCCTTTGCAAAGTCAAAAAAGATCCCTACACATTTTTTGAAAATAAAAAGGCCTGTGAAAATTCTGAAGTGTCTGATTCATGCGAGAATTGACAAAGTGAGACATTCAGATTGTTTCATAGATACTGCAGTTGCTCATGAACTGTAGGTGGCTTTTCATCAGCTTCAGGAAGTTTCTTCTTAGTCCTTAAAGCCTAAAAAGAAATCTTCCTCTTTCTGGAAACATGATTTCTGTGGAATAGCTAGACAAAAACATCACACTCTCCTAGATCATGCTGCATTTTGATTTTTTTGTGTTGATGGCTGAGATTCATGGACATTTTGGCCTCAGACTGTAGTGTTTGGTCATTCCACAGAGATTGTAAAGGCAGAAGTTGCCACTTTGGATCTTCATTCAGGCTAACTCAAAGTTGTGTCTATCCATGGGCAAGAATAGTTGCTTTACAAACAGCCATAAACAAGAAAGGTTTGAAATTGCATGTTTTACATTGAGTATGGACTCTGATTTTCAATTATTAGATTGGTTCAGGAGCTGGAAAAAAAAAAAGGTTTTATCTAGTTTCCAGTTTTATTCATATGTATTAAGTGTAACAACTGTAAGTGCTCTTTGTTACACTCATAAACATCCAGTCCTCCTTTCAATCTTCTTAAATTCTCTACCTCATGACAGGACAGTACATTTCAGCCACTGCTGATTTTGATTAATTTTCATAAGCTAAGTTGAGCATTGCTCTCAGCTAATGTGTCAGCTACTGGACACTTCATGGGCTAATGGCCTGATCTGGTCTGGGGATTCTAATATCATTACAGCTGTCAACAGAGGAGGGTCGAAGAGGGAGGGCATCACCTTGACAATGTCTCCTAAAAATGAAAACAAGTCTTCTTCATGCAGCTATAGATTTAAAACGGTCACCCACAAATTCATATAATTAATGAGAAGATGTATTTAAAAAAACAACAATAACAATAACAAAACCAACACACACTTTGGAGAATACAACAGACCCTGTATTAATCTTTCCTTCTTGAAAAAAATACAGAAGTCCAAATAGGATATAAATAGCCCTATTCTGAGAGAAAGAACAAAAAGAAAATAAAAGCCTAAAGCAGCCTTATTAAGGCTAACTATAATGAGACACATCCAGGAATGAATAATGCCCAAGGAGACCTCAGAGTCAGAGTGGACAGTGAATCAAATGTTGACAATGCAATATGGCAGGGAAAAAGTGAGCCTGCAAATGTGGTCTGTCATGAGGGAGAGACGGACTGTGTCCAGAAGGGACTCCTGGGAGTACCCTGCAAATGCTCACCGAGCTCCTGAGCCATCAATGCCAAAAAAATCATAATGAGGGAACTAGAGGAAGTTCAAAGAAGAGCAATCAGAATGATCTGTGTGCTGAAATAAACCAGCTGTGTGGAAAGACCAAAACATCTGGAGAAGTGCAGGGCTACCTAAGTGGCTTAAGTTGAGTTCCTAAGAATACAGAAGGCAGAATCCGGTTTCTTAACACAGCTCTGGTTTTTGTAGGCTTCATGCAGAGCCCCAACTAGTCTGATTTTGTGCTGAGGAAGGACTCTGTCAACAGAGCAACTGTAGGGAATAGCTTGGAGGCTGCCTTAAGGAGCCCAGACTCAGTGTAAGGGATAACAGCTGTGCTGTGGAGATGGTGCTGCAGCACCGCAGGAATTACAGTGCAAGCAGCAAGACAGTTACCTGAACTTCTGGTGCTTGGAGCATTTAAATTACACTGAAAGCCTTGAGATGGTCCAGGAAGGGGAGGACACAAAGGTGGCTGAGAGCCAGCACTGAGCCATCCTTAAGACATTCAGCAAGCAGCAATTCTGAGAGCTGGGTAAGGGGGTGGGAAAAAGAAGAGGGGGAAATGAAGGCTTACGATTAACTAGCGAGGGAAAAAGGCACATCATAAAGGTCAAACCTAAAGCTGTGGAGAAATGGTGAGGGGAAAATAGCAGAAAGCTGCGCTTCCTGCAAGATTGGCCACGAATCTTAAGGGGACGCTGTGCAGCTCAGCTGCAGCGGACTCTTCTCAGGTAAATACTAAACTGGTAGGCGATTTCCTCTTTGCCATTTTATCTTCAGATTAAAACACCTAAAGCCTTGCCGAGGGCTGAGGGCGCAGCGTGCGTGTGCGCAGAGGGGCTGCACAGTCCCTCGGAGGAGCCGTGATCTCCGCTTTCTGCAAGAACGCGCGCAGCGCGGGATGGGAACCCCGAGCGAAGGAGGCACCGGACAGCCCTCCTCCAGTGCTTCCCATTCACACAGAGACCGCCACGTGCGATCACCTCCGCGAGGTGCGTCTCCATTAATAATTCACTGCCATCCTTGATTCATCAAGTCCGGGAAGTTCCCAGCAAGAGTGGGAAAAGAGCAGGCGAGCATCTCCGCTGCCAGCAGAAGGACTTACGAGCGGCTCCCGGGATGAGAAACCGCACCACGCGAACAAGCGGAGAGCGGTGCGCCTCTCTCTCCTTCTTACCCGGTGCCCCCCCCCCCCCCTCCTCCCCCATTCCATTCTGCTTTTCACTCTCACTACGAAGCCACCACCTCACGCACGGAGCAGCCCTCGGGTGGACGGGGGAGTCGGCGGCACAGCCCCGACCGCCTCATCGCTCGCACACCGCTGCCAGCCCGCTGCGCACCTCCCGGCTCCGGTGCGGCAGATCCGGCGGCTCCGCAGCCGCATCGCCCGGAGTGCGTGTGCGCGGCTGGGTGTGAGTGTGTGCGAGTGTGCGCCTACCGGGGAGGCAGGCAGCGAGGGAGGAGTTTGCTTTTTTTTTTTTTTTTTTTATTAATCAGGAGCGCTGAATGGAAACCAATCAGATAGAGAGCCCCCTCGGCTCGGGCTGCCTGCATGCGGGAGTTAAAAAGTGCTGCCGGTCGAGCGGCAGCCCCAGTGAGCGGCGGGGAGGCTGAGAGCGGGCAGCAGGGGCCGGGAGCCGCCGCCACCCATCCCAGCTCGGCCCTACGAGCCGGTAAGAGCCGAGCTGCGCACCCCGCGCACCGAGCTTCGGCCGTCACCAGGCGGTCGCCTTCCCTTTCTTCTTTTTTTTTTTTTTTTTTTCTTGTGATTAATGTGTTATTATTTTTACTGCGCTCATTGGGAATGCTACTGGGTAGGGGGGGAGGGGTGTCCATCACTTCTTTCGCAAAGTTGGCGGCTGTCTGGCGGGGGCTCCGAGGCTGCGCCGGGTTTCGTCCCCCGGGGGCTGCGGGAGCCGCGCTCGCGTGCGCTGAGTCGGGGAAAGGATGCGGCGCTATGCTGAGGGCTGTGATGGGCAGCAAAGCGCTGAGGGCGAGGGACGAGTGAAGGCGGGTGGACGGGTCGCGTATGGTTAGAAAAGTATTAATAACAATAACAAGAATGATGATGATGATGATGGAAAAGGAGAAGCATGATAAGAGCCAGGGTTGTTTTCTTTTTCTTTTCTTTTTTTCTTTTTCATTTGTAAAAAAAAAAAAACTGTGTTGGCTTCTTGGCGCTACCTAGTCTCAGTGAAATGGATACAGGGCAAAGCCCTTCAGATCACAAGCAAAAGGCAAAGTGCAGAGCTGGATGTGGAGCAGTGCTGAGACAAGCGCTCTCCCGGCACAAAGAAGGGGCAAAGGGGGGGGGACCTGGGGTTGCTGCAGGGATTGGCAAATGTGAAAGGCTTCATCTGGGGAAGGAGGAGGTTGGGGAGTGGTGGAGGTGGGGGAAAAAAGGGGGTAGGCGTGCAGGCATTTTGCAGAAGAAAAGTTGGATAATTGCAGGAAAAAAAAAAAAAAGTGTTGAATTTGGTTGTTGTCAATGTTTCTAAGGAGCTGGTAGCATACTTTGTATGTCAGATAGATTGAACTATTTATATGTGCACATGTATAGAACACCTACATGCACATGCATGCAAACCCATACATGGGACATAGACTATATATGTATTCTTATGCAGAAGATTGAGTCAAGAGATAAGCAATAGTGGTAGAGGTCAGTGGCCAGGGAGAAAAGTCTTGTCACTGCTGCAATAAAATCCATATTTTATGGAGAGTTAAATGCAGTACTTTGTAAGTGCAAATGGATGGTCACCTAAATAACTCCTGATGACATTCAAGGACCAAGAAGTTTAATGATCAAAATTACTCCTGGCACAGAGGTTACTTTTGTACAAATCAAGAGGATGGGGCATCTTTTTCCTTGCACTTCTGTATGAAGTGAGATCTGAAAGTTCTGATAGCACTGCATGGGGAGATTGTGTAGTAGAATTTACTCACCTAGTATAAGGTCAGTCCTTTCTCCAAAGTGACAGCTCTTCAAGCATAGCTGGAATATGAGAGAATTGGGTGGCTGTTGCTGTTAGTCCAGGACTTGGCAAGGGTAGTACATGCATCCACACGTGTACTTCATGGGCTGTGTGCACCCATACATGCACAAGGAGGGCAGTACAATGAGAGCAAGGTTATTTTCATTTCCTTTTGTCATTGTACCCATGTGCAATAGCGCCCTGGAAATAACGTAATTCCAAGGGAATAAAACCTGAGTGCACAGACCTCTTTGGTTTTAATCAAAATAGACATAACTCTCCCCGTCAAGATAAAGGCTTATCTCATGTATTTGCTGGGCTGAAATCTCTATTATGCAGTCAGTTCTGTGCAAAAGTGCTTGCATATTACTTAAAGCATTCCATAAAATTGATTAACATCTGTTCTTGAGCAATATAATGCTATGGGTAATGGTGCATCCCTATTTGTTTCTTTCTTTCTAATTCTTATTTGAAGGCAATAAGTTTGCATGTCACAATAGAGTCGGGTTGAGCTTGGAGGCTTCTGTAGATTCCTTTACCATGGATATATACAGTTTTAGAGGCCTGGCAGCAACAGCACAATTGGATATCTCCTTTAAACAGCCCAAACACGCTAATAAAGACTGCAGGGCTGAATCCCTTTTTCCTCTGCTCTTTTCTCTTTTCAGATGTTATCTGACACAGCACCAGTAAATATATAATCTCATGTGCTTCTGGCTTTCAGCTGCACTATAATCTTTCTGGACATATTTCTAGTGGCTTGCAGTTA